CAACACTATGTCAGATCCTCTGCCACTTGGGCCAGGAACATGACTGACAGCTTTGATCTTAACTGGGGCAAAGAGGATCTAAGGATTACAAAGAATAAGGAAATCATGACAACTTCAAAAGAAATTAGTAAAGTCCAGAAGTTGATAGCATAGAAATGAACATCTATTAAATTATGAAAAAGGAATTCAGATTCATGTTTAGAAAGAATATCAGTGAATTAGAGACACAGAAGTACTCATTTCAATTGAAGTTTAGAAAGCATATGAAAAAAGTTGAAAGGTGCTTAAAGAAATAGAGAGCCAAAAAGAGAAGCAGAGAGAATTCAGGGTAGTAATAGGATTCCAAGCACACAGCTCCATAAAAACATCAAACCACAATGGAAGACAGAGATAAAGAAAAAGAAAAGAGAGTATCTGTTAAACAAACAGAACAAAACTAACAAAAAAGGAAGTCATGTATCCTTACCAATTGATGTTACTTGAGTTAAATGCACTAAATTCCCCAATAAAAGTACATAGAGTGACTGGATTTTTTTACCAAAACATTTAATTAACTTTTAAGGACACACAGAAAGTGAAAGTGAGAGGATGGAAAACATGATGCTAACCAAACAAATGCTGTATGTCTCTCAGATGAAACTGATCTTAGGTCAGTAACTGTACAAAGAGACAAAGAAGAACACTATATAATGACAATGGAGTTGATCCATTATGAGTATCTACAAATAAAAATAGATGTGCACCCAACAGACCACTTGAATATAAAAAGTCAATGTTAAAGGGTTAGAAAGGAGATATAAATTGCAAGATAGTAACAGTAGGGGACTTCATTGCCCCATTTTCAAAAATAGATTCATCATCCCTACGGAAAACTAATGGAAACCTTAGACTCAAAGTACACATTAGACCAAAGGGATGCAGCCGACTTGGAACATTCCATTCAACAGCAATAGAACAGACCCTTCTACCCAAGGCTCATGTAACGTTACCCAGGATAGATCACCGAGTGAGAAACAAAAAGACTCGAAAAACTCAAGTGGATGCAAATTGTCTCTAATATGTTTTTTGACTACGGTCCTCTAAAACTAGAAAAAATACAGGATGAATTTCAGGTAACTCACATACTCATAAATGTTTTCTGATCAAGCAATGGGTCCAGGAAAAAATGAACAATTAAGAAAGACTTTAAAACACATTAAATTGGAAACACAACACACCAAAATAGATGCTATATAACATTTCTAAGAGGTCAGTTTCCAGCTATAAACACCTACAAAAAAAGAAAAAATATCTTAAATTTAAAAATTAAAAGATACCCCATACTATTAAAAGAAGAATGAAGCTGGACCTGGTGGTTCAAGCCTGTAATCTCAGCACTCTGGGAGACTGAGGCAGAAAGGTCACAGGTTGGAGCCCAGCCTGAGTATCTTACTGAGACCCTTCTCAAAATAATAGGGCTGGGGTTGTAGCTCAGTGTCCAGACCCAGGTTAAATTCTCAGAATTTCAAAAAGATGAAAAAGAAATGAGTAAACTAATCTTGAAATTAACAGAAAATATACTCCACACTACTAAAAGAAGAAATCACCGGTCATAATGGCTCACACCTGAATCCCAGCACACTGGAAGGGCAATGCAAGATGTTAGCAAGTTCAAGCCCAGCCTGAAAACTTAGCGACTTAGCAAGACACTGTCTCAGAATAATAATAATAAAAGAGGGGGCAAGGGATGTTGCTCAGCATGATGGCCCTGGATTCAATCTCAAGTACTGCCAACAAAATATATGTATAAAGTTGAAAGAAGTGGGCCTGGTGGGAGGCCTGCAGCTCACACACCAATAGCTGAATTTCAATCTGGATTTTTGGAATGGAGTTGGAATGGGAGAGAAATGGAAGAATTACAATTCCTTTGCTGCTGTCTAACTGAACCCTGCCTCAGTGATCCAGAGCTAAGACTGCCCTGAGTGACAGACTGGAACCCATTCCTTCCAGGGGGACCCAGTCACCAACCCTACTGGAACTCACCAATCACTGCAAAATGTGGGGAGGGATTGCAACTGTTTTCATGTTGTCCTGGATCATCATGTGCCATCCTGACTAACACAGCCAATCTCATTCCTGAACATTATTCCTCTGGACAGACGTGAAGATGTTTTCTTATAGCAGACCATCATTAAAACCCCCAAGAAAGGGGAACCAAGGATGGAAGGAGGGAGGAGGGGTGGGGAGGGGAAAGGAATTAAGATGTGCCATGTACATGTCCCAGGTCCCCACTGTGAAAATGATCACTACGTATTGCACACATGTACTAATGAAAAAGGTAAGGCAAATAAAATAAAATCCCCTAGACAGGACCTGAGACCCCACTAACAATCACATGCCCTGGACACACACACGCACAGCCACATACTGTCCAACATCGCTGTTTCTTTCTCAGACAATGAGTCCAGTGTGCAAGTGACTTAAAAACTGTATGGTTTACAACAAGATACCCTTGGAAACAAAGACACAGAACTATACATGTTCCAGAGCTCTTTTGATGAAAATTTGTATTTGTATTTTGCCTACAGAAAGTTACTAATCAAAGGACCTTTTTCAGGATCTGAACTCTTCTTTGAGAAGAAATGGAGACCTATAAAATGACTGACAAAGAATTCAGAAAACTTCCCCTTTAAAAGTTCATGATCTTTAGAGACATTTATAGCTAAGTGGATGCACATTGAGGTGATACTCTTAAGTGAAATAAATAGGACACACATGTGTAAATACCAAATAGTTTCTCTGGTGTGAGAAACTGAAAGTGTAAATAAGGACTAAATGTGTAATAGGTAATGTGAAATAGGAAGAAAAGAGGCAAAGGGGAAGGAAATGGGAGGGCTGGGGAAAGGATAGAGGAGAATGGGCTTAGTATGAGAAAATGGAAAAATAGGAACAAAATCTTTGTAAATAGGGAGGACTGGAGGGGTTGAAGGGAGGGCTGGGCAAGGGTGAAAAATAAGAACCAAGAGAGACTATGTAAAGGTGCAAATTTCCACGGATGAATGTCGTTATATTGTATACCTAAAATGTACCAATGATTAGAATGAATAATCGATAATGCAAAATAGGAAGAAAAGGTCCAAAGGGGTAGGGGTAGTGGGAGGGGCAGGGGAAAGGAAAGAAGGGAAAGGAAAAATGCTGAGAAATGGAAAAAATGGAAATAAAGTCTTTGTAAATAGGGAAGGGTGGAGGGGGTGAAGGGAGGGCTAGGAATAGGGAGAAAATAAGAACCAAGATGCATTATGTAAAGGTACAATTCCCAATGAGAAATGTAATTGTGTTGTATACCTACAATATACCAATAAAAGAATTTAATACAAAAAAAAAGTTCATGATCTATAAGAACATGTGGATTTAAAAGATTAATGAAATTTGGAAAACAATTCACAAAAACAGGAAGAAGTTGGACAAAAATACAAACAACAAAAAAGCAGCAAATAGGCCAGGGGTGGTGGTACAAGCTGGTAATCCCAGCAGGCCAGAAGGCTGAAGCAGGAGGGTCACCAGTTGAGACCAGCCTGAACATGCTGCCTCAAAATTAAAAATTATAACAAGTGTTGGGTAGCTCAGTGGGAAGGTCTTAATGCAACTCCAAGAACTTCCAAAAAAGGAAAAATCTCAGGTTTGAGGAAACCTAAACAAATTGAAATCCAGAAAGCATTACATTAAAGTTAACCAATTTGACTACCAAAAAGTGAAACTCACGTAGGAAAAAAAATGAAGTCAATGAAAAATTATTTCCAATGCCTAGAAAAAGAGCTAAATGTTGACATTCCTAATACTCAAGAAGTTTGTAGCTATTACTCATAAAAAGAGCTTTCAAAATTAAGAAACATGAATATGTAATTTGCAAAAGAAGAAATGCAAATGGCCAATATAGCAATGACAGTGGGAGATAAAAACAACAGCCGTGCACAATATTTTTATCCAGGAAATTAATGAAACTTTAAACATTTGACAATGTCTGGAGCCAGAAAAGCTATGGAAAAGCTGCAACTCTCATAAAAAATTGAAGTCAAGGTAAGGTCATACAAGATTTCAAATCAGTTTCTCAAATGTATAAAAACATAATATGTGAACACCATCAAACCCAGCAACCCTGTCCTTGGGACTGTAGCCTACTGAGATAAGAACGAGATCATGAAACTATCTGAAAGCAAAAAAAAAAAAAAAAATGGCTAAGGATGTTTACTCTAAATTCTGCTCATAAAACTGAAAGTAGAAAAAGCTGAAATGCATGTCACTATTCATTGATTTTTAAAAGTAAGGTGTAGCCAAAGTTTTACAAAATTTTACAAAGATAACTAAAAGAACATGTGAAGTGTATAAGTATTGGCTTATGAACATATCTATTATTTATCGAAAAGTGAAAAATTCAATGTAAAGAACAGTATGTCTGGCCTTTTATTAGATTTTATTTTAATAAAATCGGTGTGAAATTGTATGAGAAAAAATACAATCTTGAAAATGCAGAGTCCACCAATAATACGATATTTTTTCAACAGATGATGTTACCTTCATATGGGGGCGCCCTAGAGGATGTCGTGAATTGCAGAAAACCCATTACCTTGCTGGGCCTTAGAGAAGAAATTGAAAATGCACAGGGAGCAACCTCAATGACCAACGTTACCCAAGTAGCAGTTTGCTGTACTAAATGTCTGGAAGCTAATGGCCACCACTTTGAGCACCTCTTATAACTGCAGAGGCCAAAGGTAACTTGCATTAATCTCATAATGCCCCAATACATTTAGTATTAAAATATTTATATAAGTTTTTCTTTTCCTGAAGTGAAGTGTGTATACATTTTTTGGCAGACTATGTATATATATTTAAAACAATTTCATATACATGCACATAAACAAGGGCTGTTTTATAAAGTTTTTAACCCCAATTAAATAAAATGGAACAAAATAATACATTGAATCAGAAAGACAAGTGTGACCAATATAAATGACATATCATGGTTCAGTTAAGAATCTTTTTAATTAACGTGCAAATTCAGGTTATCCTTCATGTGCCAAGGGAGAGAGATAACATACCTTAGACAAGGGCTTTCCCTGATGGCAGTTGATTCCACCAACAAAGACCATGTTGGGCATCACAGGTTTGGGATAGTCCAGAATGAAGTCTGTGCGTAACAACCAAATTGATGGTTGGCTGAAGAGGTTATATGCTGTCACAGGTGCTTGGAGAATTTCAGAGGCAATCTCTAAGGCCTCTTTAAAAAAATAAGGGCAAACTAAATGCTCCTCCACATGGTAAAGGTGGTTCTTTACTTTCTCCTTGAAAGTCATGGCATCTGATAAGCCAGAGAGGAGGCGGGGAACATAAGACAGAGGAGCAGGGCACTGCGCACCTTCTTCAAGATAATGGCAAAATACTCCTCTGGCAAAGGCCACAGATGGGAGTGAAAAATATCTGGCAACAATTAAGCCACACACATCAAAAGGATCCATAAACACTGCATCAAAAGAAGTATTTTTTAAGTATTCAACTAATTTCTTCTCATTAAACAAACTCCTACAACGTGAAAAGGTGATGTCAAAAAATCCTTTGGATGAACCTGTTGCTATAGAATAAATACTTTGTTCTGCAGTTGTCCATTGAGTGTCAACAAAAACCTTAAACCCCTGGTCCAAATCCTTCAGAGTATAAGAAGTTGAGTAAGTCTTTACTGTGAAATCCAGCGACTCTCCCAGTTGCCAACTCACCTCTGGCATGACTGAGACTACCTCATGCCCTCTCTGGATGAGTTTCTCCACCACCGAGCGCATGGTGAACCAGTGACTCCCATCCATGGGCACCATCAGCAGCCTGCCTGCCTGGGCAAAGCCAGCTGCCAGCAGCAGACACAGGCACAGAGGGAGGGTGATAGGTGAACGTGCAGGAGCCATGGAGACTGCAGCCCAGAGCCACTTAGGTGCTAAGACTTTCAGCTCATGTAATACATTAGGCTTAAGAAGTACAGGCACATAACATGCCACAGAATGGGCAGATTCACACATTGATAAAGTTACACTCACTGAAAATGATTTACTCAGAAAAACAATGATTAATGAGTAGCAATGAGTTGCATTCCTACTGGCATATTTTCTAGACAAGGATAGTTTTCTATCTTTGTCCAAAAGAATCACATCTTATTTTGTAATGTGGCTTTAGAAACATAGCTATTAAGCAATAGTTTTGGACTTTGAGAACTCAGAAAGGTTAAAAAGCAAAGTTTATTTGAGTAGAGTTTTTTACTAACATAGGTTGTGAGAAAATTAATTGATCTCTTTCATCACACTTTCAAAGATCCTTTTCTCAGAAAGAAATTGCCAAACATAGGAGTAAACAGATTCCTAGACACCTGTGAATTATTAAAACTAAAGCAAAGAGAGATAAAATTTTTGAACAATTCAAAACAAGAAATGAAACTGAGGCAGCAATTTTAAAAACTACCAATTAAAAAAAGCCCAGGACCTGAAACATCCATTGCTGAATTCTACAAAAATTTAGGGACATTATATCACCAATATTCCTCAATCTCTTCAGTGAAATTGAAAGGGAAGGAATGCTTCCAAACTCATTCCTGGAAGCCAGCACCACTCCAATCCAAAAAAACAAAAAACAAAACAAAACACCGGCGAAGACCCAACTAAAAAAAAAAGAAAAGTACAGGCCAATCTCCTCAATTAACATAGATTCAAAAATCCTTGCACATAAAGGAAGTGAGCCCCCTCGGTGCAGGGGAGGAGGCTTCTAGGCCACTGTACCACCACCCCCAGTGCAAAGGAGGAGAGCTGTGCTGTGCCAGCAGCAACCCCCTCATCCCCAGTGAAATAAGAAGACACATAAACAAGTGTCACAACCACACTTCCAGATCACCTATAGAAACCCCAAAGGGAAACAAGATAGAACAATCTGATACTCAACCACCTGGACTCCCTGAACTGGCAACAAAAGAGGATTTGGAAAAAATACAATCAGAAATAATTTCTCAGATAACAGCAGAGATTGTGCCCATACTGTAAGACATGATTAACAAATCTAGAGAAGACACAGATAAAAAAAATAGAGGATCTGAGGAACATGATGGAATCCCAACATAGGAAACAAATGGAATCCATAAAACAGATGCAAACAGATTTCTAGGAGATCAAAAAGTCCATCGAAAGTTTATGCAGCAGAATGAGCCAACGTGAGGACAGAATTTCAGATATACAAGATAGGATTGCAATTAGTGACCAGGAAAAAGAAAAGTTTCCTTAAAATATTAAGGGACCATGAGAAATCAATCCAGCAGCTGCTAGACAATGCAAAGAATAACTTAAGACTGATTGGAGTCAACAAAGAAACAGGAGAGAGTGCAGACAACATAAAAAAACTGTTCACAGAAGTGATAGCAGAAAACTTCCCAACTTGACATACAGATAAGTGAGGCATATAGGACTCCAACTAGCCTTGATCAAAAAAATGTACACATAGGCATATAATTGTTAAAACAAACAGTGGTTACTCTACCAACTCTCTTACCACCACCAGTTATGTAGACTGCAATTTTAATGTGAACTCATGAACTGAATCATGTTTACTGGTGGTGGTAAGATGGCTGGATCTCTTCAACTGTGCTCAGAAGGAGAGAACTTATGTAGTGGTCAGATAAATGTGGACTTCACCTTCACCTGGATGTGTAGGTTTATAGTGAGCTAAGATCAAAGGTCTCAGATACCTTCCAGGCCCATGAGGGACAGAGTCTGGCACAGAGCACTCAATCCCAACCCAATGGATTTGTTTTACTATCATATGCTGGGCCACTGTCTGCACTCTAATGTCAGATGTGGTAGCTGCCAGGGCTCCACTGTCTAGTGAAACAACTCTGCAATCATCCACCAGGTGGAAGTGCTGGTTGAGTATGGCAGTGGCATCTGCTGAGGCTGATTACAGTTTGTAACCTGGCCATGCAACTCTGATCTTTGATCTGCAGTTGGCAAAGCTGTAGTCTGTCAAAGATAAGGTGTGCTTGGAGTTTTTTCTTCATTCTCTATCCTGTTCTATTGATCCACAAACCTGCTTTTTTGTTTGTTTGTTTGTTTTTGCCAATACCATGCTGTTTTTTTACTATATCTTTGTAGTATAACTAAGTCTGGGATTGTGATTCCTCTGGCTTTTCCCTTGTTGCCAAGAATTGCTTTTGCTATTCTAGGTCTCTTCTTGTTCCATATGAATTTTAGGATTGTTTTTTCTAGTTCTGTGAGGAATGCTTTTGTTATTTTGATTGGGATTGCATTAAATATGTATACCAATTCTGGAAATATTTAACTATATTGGTTCTGCCTAACCAGGAACAGAGGATGTCTTTCCATTTTCTGTAATCTCTTTGATCTCCTTTTTCAGAATACTGTCATTTTCATTACATAGATTTTTCACTTGTCTTTAACAAATAGTTCTGGGAATCTCCTAGAGATTTCTTAGTATTTTCTCTGTAGATGATCATTTCATCTACATATAAAGATTTTACTTCTACCTTGCCAATCCTATGCTATTTGTTTATTTTTATTGCCAGACTATTTTGGTTTGGGCCTATGTTTCAAAGTTTAATGGACAGATGATGTGTAGGCA